ATCTGCACGTTGTCACATTCAACTGTAACATGATTAACCAATAAATTGATTTTATATATCAAATCTTGCATGCAAGTCTATTGGTCATTGTTATTAACAAAAACTTTACAGGTCACTTTCTATTGAATTCTTCTCCTTTCTCTTTTGTGCTTTAATCCCATCCTTTTTCTAAAATGTTGCTTTGCTGTCATATTAATAATGCTATTGTGCCCGAATCAATTAATAATACAATAACATATTCTGTATTTACCATTTGATCAGGCAATTGTGTGCTTTTGTTTATGATTTATGTTAAGGTATAAAAGGTACTATGATATATAAAACACGCGTTCCTAGGCCTAGGTAACACAATAAGACATAGCACACTGGAAAATAACACTTCGCCAATGTAGTACTCATATCCTGTACTTACCATTTGATCAGGCAATTAGGTGCTTTTATTTTGTGATTCATGTTAAGGTATAAAATGTAGTATGATATATAAAATACGCGTTCCTAGACCTAGGTAATACAATAAGACATTGCACACTGGAAAATAACACTTATAAGCTACTTAATATTGGAGGGGATTATATAAAAGAGTGTCAAAAAATATGTAATAATAATTTCTGGAAAGATGTTTTTGGGGCTTGGCATGGGCTAGAAATGACAGAAAACATGAAAGCTCTCAAAGGGAAATCACTCTTGAAATCTCCCATATGGCACAACCATACTACATGTATGACTATTGGCGGCAAATCAGTCTATTATTCACAGTGGTATGAAAAGGGATGTATATTGCATAGGGGACTTTATAAAGGATTTTGATACTTAAACTCTCTTTTTTGTATAATGAATTTATTCAAAATTACAACATAAGTACTAATTTTCTTAAATTTTATGGATTAGTGTCTGCGATTAGGAAATGTTTAGAAAATTACGAATTCAGGGACTATACTTTTAACCGCCCTGTAATACCAGTGATTATTGCACTATTTTTAAAGACAACTAGGGTTAAAAAGATTTTTATGACATGCTAAATAATAAAAGAAATCTCAAAGCTAAAGGTAGAGAAAAATGGGGAGAACTCGTTGACTTTAATGATGATGACTGGGTCAGAATACACTTGTTGCCTGTCCAAGTTACTAGAAATTCCAAACTTCAGTGGTTATAGTATAGAATCATCCATCATATTTTAACAACAAATTCATTTCTTTTCAAAGCACATATAGTAGTCAGTCCACTTTGTAACCTTTGTAATATTGAAAGAGAAACCATTTAACACTTGCTCTGGGAATGTGAAATGGTGCAGAATTTAGTACAAAACTTAGAAAGCCTGTTGGAAGCACTATATATTCCTTTTACAGTTAATAAACAAACACTACTCCAGTGATATGAGATATGACTCGTTTTATATCACGAATGATAATGTGAATAATAAAAATTAGTTTTAACATTATGGTGAAAGGTCCGTACAGCATTAACTGAATGAGGTTACCAATTTATTACATACCTAGGGAATCTTACTGTAGTAATACAATGATGCAAGTTGTCTTGCCAAACAATACAATCCTGTTTTCCCTCAGTAGCTAGATTTCTTAACATTTAGCAGGTTTTAACGCTATGGTAACCTGACGCCATGAATAAGGAGTAATGATTTGCAATGTTTTGAAGAAAATATCAAACGCACTTATGAACAGATATAGCCTTTTTTATTATAGGTATGTTAACAAATCCCCACACATTATTCTGACGACTCATACTTGTTCATTACGTGACTATATTTATTTCACTCGGAGTAACGCACCCTTGAAATATTTCCATAGCAGCAATAACCTCAAGCAATCTGATACTACAATCTGAACAGAACTCTACGTAAATTTCATCAATAGCAGTTTGGTGATGATGATGACCTTGTTACTTAATTAGGAAATGTTTAGAAAATTACGAATTCAGGCACTATACTTTTAACCGCCCTGTAATACTAGTGATTATTGCACTATTTTTTAAAGACAACTAGGGGTTAAAAGATTTTTATGACATGCTAAAGAATAAAAGAAATCTCATAGCTAAAGGTAGAGAAAAGTGGGGAGAACTCTTTGACTTTAATGATGATGACTGGGTCAGAATATACTTGTTGCCTTTCCAAGTTACTAAAAATTCCAAACTTCAGTGGTTACAGTATATAATCATCCATCATATTTTAACAACAAATTCATTTCTTTTCAAAGCACATATAGTAGTTAGTCCACTCTGTAACCTTTGTAATATTGAAAGAGAAACCATTTAACACTTGCTCTGGGAATGTGAAGAGATACAGAATTTAGTACAAAACTTAGATAGCCTGTTGGAAGCACTATAATTATATTCCTTTTACAGTTAATAAACTCTACTATTTGGCAAGATTAATAATAATAACAATCCTTGTCATAAAGTGGATAATGAAATTATTTTAATCATAAAGCAGTACATTTACAAAACAAGATATTTACATCAGACACTGAATGTCAATGCATTGATTTATGCCATTATGGATCATTTTAGTGTGCAGAAATATATCATTAGAACTAAGAGGGATGTGGCCAAAGATAAATTTCGAAACGGATGGAGAAAGTGGGAAAGGTTGCTAAAGATAATGGAATGAAATGATAAGATGTTGTTCGCGCATTCACATTTCCAAAACAAGTGGTCAAAGAACTATATAGCTTATTTCTGAATATTCTTTCCTATTTTTTGTTTTTGTTTTAATTTGTTTTTAACTCTATTTAACTCTATTGACCTTATGTATATATGTATATATATAAATCACCAGTCCCTGACAAAATCAGCTCACTTGTTGCAACCTATTTTCTCTCTGATGATTATGATGATGATGGTATGATGATGGTTGTATGATGATGATGATGATGACAATGATGATGACAATGACGATGATGATGATGATGATGATGATGATGATGATGATGATGATGATAAACAGACATATAAAGCATATACATAGCGTACAACTATCAATTCAGTACATATGCTACATTTACACAACGCCAGCGGAAACCATAGTAGGTCACCTATCGTCTCCTATCGTTTGGCAAACTGTCCAACACATGAACTGCCTCGGAACAGTGGGATTACTTAACGTGCCATACTGTGCTTTCTTTTCTGAAGTTATACAAAGGATTATTTTGTTAAATAAGATAAGGAAAATGTTCAGGTGATATTTGGTTACAATTTTGAAAGCTTCTTAACTTATAACTTATTATTCTTCTAACATGTAGAGAAGCAATATTGTATGATCTTTAAGAGGACTGAGCGTTGAAGTCAATTTCCATGAACCAAAAGGCCAGGAAAGTTGATTTTAGTTTAAAGGTAACAACGGTTGTTGATATGATGGTCTATAAGTAATATCATTGCTATACATTTTATCCAAGTGATGTTGTATGCGATTAATCCATGCTTCGTCCAGAGATTTCGTTCATATAAGAATTAAAAACAGTAATCAGCTCTGTTCCAATACTATACTGTCGTTTGAGTTCCCCATCAATTACTGTGTTGTTGGGGTCCTCTTTCATTAAAGTGTTGTTTGAGTTCACATAAATTACTGGGTTTTTTTGTCAGTGATTTTAATGCTTTGTTCGAGTTCACATTAACTACTGTTATTAGATTTCCCGTCGTAACTATGTTTTCGAAATTTCATTTATTAGCGTTTATCAAATAAGAGATGAACGTGTTTAATGCCAGCGAATGCTTATTGGGGGTGTTTAAGCTAATTACAGTTAATAATACGAACACGACCATTGCAACATCTACTGTAGGGTGGCAATTGAACGCACCCCAGCTAATTCAAACTTAATTTCCTGATATCGCCGTATGATTTGGAAAAATCTTTCACCCACTCACCCTCCCATATTTTTGTTTGAAATTTCATCATGTGAACTATTATGCTGCAAAGGGTGTCTTGTATATTGCAAAGGTCTTGAATGTAGATGGTTGATTAAGCACAGATATGGGGCTTGGACTTGGACATGATGCACATGTACAAACTGTCATGAACTCAAAGTGGTCTTATTGTGCAGGTGTTCCATATTGACAACCCCAGACTAGACACGCGTGTTATGTACATGTGAGTTGACCTTACAGCGTTCTGTGTTCATGATTCATAATGCCGTCATCAAATTTCAACGGACGATGTACTTGTAGTGGTAATGCTGCACGTTTAATCTTCATAATCGTAATGGCATAGAGTTTGGACAATATCCATTTTTGATTTAATTTGAAATATTCCGCTGGACTCGTGCCATTTGTCAATAAGAGATAACATATAGTTTAATTTTGGGGAAATCAAGGGACTATTTCTATTTCGGACACGTTTATACTAGCCTTTAAAGGCGATTTTATTTTGTTGCGGTTTCCTTATAAGGGGAAAGGGGGAAGAACCAAGAGGGAGTCGGAGAGGGACATGAGCTAATCCGGCTAAATACTCATGCAAGTTCTGCTTTACAGCAGGCTGTTGGGTACTTGACATGTAGAATGGGGTTTCTAGCGGTACTACAGATCCCCCATTCCTCCGTAGTACCATGGGGGAGTGTCTTGTTATAATTGTTATAAGAGTTTACCGAGGTGGACTGGTTGTAATGTATACATGTCTATTGAATACATAGGCCTTTGGTAAACGTATGGAGGTCTCATTGTCGAATTTCCCTCAGTAAGTTTAACCTAGGGGAACAGGTCTCTCGTGGTACCATGGGAGATGCTGGTACTGCTCGGTGTTTTGTAGAATTGTCTGTAGAAAATATCTGAATATATGCTTTTTTTTAATGAATGTAGCCTATGTACATGTATAAATATTGTGGTGTGTGAATTCTCGCTGATTATTGTTTAATAATGAGTAATAACTGCGGTTTTGAGTTCCCATTAATTCGAATTTACATTGTGTACATGCGCTAACTTTTCATTACAGATTTCGAAGTTTACGCAATTCTTCCAATTTTCTGGTGCTAAACCTGTCGGTTGCTGATCTAATGATGGCGGTTGGAAATCTACCAGCGTTCGCCGTTGCCAGCTTTAATATGAGATGGGTGTTCAGCAACATAGGTAACTAATGTAGAACTAGGAAACAAACCTACGTTATACTACATGTACATACATGTAGTATCGAACCTTTACAGTTATGGTGATAATGTATAAATGTGGAATTGTAAAAAAAATAAAAATGTGTAAAAATAAAAACCCTTACGCGAATGTAATTGCCGTTGCATGATTCGAGTTGAAAACATTCATTATTATATTGGAATAGTTTCTCTCATAATAGTTCGGTTCCCTTGCTCTGACATTTCCTGCCTGACTGCTACCATTACCCTTACTAAGGAGCACGATGTGCATCCACTGTAATGCTGTAATGCTTAGTTCTTCTTTGTAGACAATCAGTCCCGGTATACACAACGAGAAAGTGAAGTTGCTAAGACTATTTTTTATTAAGGGCATTACAGCTCTGCTTTTGAAACTATTTGCATGACCGGTATTATAAGCTGTAAAAATAACAAATCCCTTTCTGTTTCAACAGTAGTTTAAACAAATTGGTGCAGTGTAATTTCCTTTTTGGCATACACCATTAACAAATTATAGACATGGAAAAATGTATTTGCCTTCAATTATCTTTCAAGATGTAAGGTGATCGACTCTGCTGGTTGTTTCTCAGTCCTCTTGAAGTAACGATTGTCCGGTAATGTTTTGACCCATATTTTAAGCAAATATTCTTGTACTATCTTAAAGAAAGGTTGCAATTGGAACGAACTATTGTTCCTTACATAACATGTTTGAAGGTGTATGCGTCCCGAGGTAATGTAGGAGGTAATATTATGATAATAGGTTATGGAATTATGGTAATTATCAACACATAAGTATCGCAAATGAAATACTACTGTTCTGAAGCTCTCGATCGATATAATCGCCCATACCCTGTAAACATCATGTTATGCTACACATGTGCTCACCCAACCCCTCTTAACCTACACAAATACATACGTTCTATTTGTTTTAACCACATTAAGAATATGCACAAGTGGTCGACTAAAACGACATGCAGCTGTTATCCCTACATTAAGGGTCCTTTGATAATGTTCTCTGTGTTTGCCTATTTAAACTGTTTCTTTAATCCAAGTACGTCGTTTTAGGTTGTCAAATATATGGATTCGTCGGTAGTATAGCCAGCCTTACATCAATAACAACACTCACCTTGATTGCCATAGAGAGAAGCATTGTCATCGTGCACCAATTACCTTGGTACCAAAAGACATCAGTGAGGACGATGCTAATTTTCGTTGGATTTTCCTGGTTTTACTCTGCTTTCTGGTCGATAATGCCGTTAGTGGGATGGAGTCGGTATATCTTAGAGGGATCTTATGCATCCTGTACTTTTGATTTTATATCGCAACAGCCCCAGTACCGCTCATTTTCAATATCCCTCATTACGGGGTGTTTTTTCATTCCTCTTGTAATCATAATCGTATGTTATTTACGTATATTTTTAAAGGTAATCTGGCATGAACGGGAGATTGACCAAATCGCATTAAAGACAAATTCCAAAATATATTTTACTAATGTATCCAGAGAAAGACGTAAACAGAAGCGTGAGTTTAAAACAGCAAAAATAGCATTTGGAATAATTCTGGTATTCTGTTTTTCCTGGCTGCCTTATGCAGTTGTGGCTATGATAGGATGTTTCAATGGTAAATTAAGCCTCATCACGCCCATGGCAGTATCAGTTAGCGGTCTCTGTGCGAAAATCGCCACGGCTGTGAATCCTATTTTGTATGCACTAATACATCCTAAGTACAGAGGCAAAGTTAGGAAGGACATGAAGAAAGGCGTGTCATTTGTTTTCAAAACCGTGAACAATCAGGATTCCAGAATCTCACATTCCAATGACTCCAATGAAGAACTGCAATTTTCCAAATTCAATAGGAAAGAAAGCATAACGAATCGACCAAAGGAACATACACTGTTACAGAAAACTGATGATTTTCTTTAACTTGAATAGGAAACAACGAGGCTAAATCTAACTGTGTGTGGGTTTACCGTGCTCGCAACAGACACGTTCATATGTGGGCGGTTGCCTTGGAAGACACCATCGGAAAGAGAGGGTAGAGGGAGGGAAAAAAAATCTTGGTAATATATGACTTACATGGTATGACTTGCTTACTACAGCTTACACAAAGTATTGCTGTGATATCCGATTCTAGGTAATTATATGTGGTAAACAACTCCGAAAGATTCTGTGAATTGACTGCATGACCGTCTGGACATCAATACAGGTATACATCTTTATGGTATTCTGAGCATGAAAGTGATATCCGAATCCAGAGTGATGCACTGGTATCTGACTAGGGATGCACTGGTATCTGACTAGGGATACACTGGTATCTGACTAGGGGTGCACTGGTATCTGACTAGGGATGCACTGGTATCTGACTAGGGGTGCACTGGTATCTGACTAGGGATGCACTGGTATCTGACTAGGGACACTAGATGTACTAAGGCATCATTATATTGCTAGGTGTTCATTAGAAATATAAATATGTTAGCTATATCGAACTCCTCTGTAACACCGTGTAAGAAAAAATTGAGTACCTGTCGGTTTCTATCGCCTTCGTACTTGGTACATTGCTTGATTAAAATTGCCCCGTTATTCCCTAAACAAGAGATCCCAGAGGGATCTTGGCGCCCACCTTTGTACCATCTTCATTTTATTCTTTGTCAGTTCGATCTTTTCTCTTCTTTCCTCTAATCTGTTTTATCGAGTCATGTTAACAGTAAATGCACCTTGAGGTAACTTCTGATCTAAACTTAATACTGATGTGTATGAAAGCCAATCTTCAAAGTGAGTTTGTCATTTCACATATTTACTAGTACAGTACTTAATGTGAAAGAAATAGAATAGATCATTGCAATATGAGAGAGATCTGTTTAGTTCTTCTTTTAATCCATTTTTTTTATGATCAGTCTCAAAATATAACATACACAACGAGGGATCAATGGGAGCCTACATTTAAAATTTGAGAAAGATCCCTCCCGTACTTCCCGAGAAATAGCAAAACATACTTTCACTATCAAAATCCAAGATGGCTGCCTGTCGGCGATGCTGTTTATCCGATCAGTCTCTAAAATTGCCCTGTGCAGCTAGGACCAAGGGGAACCTACATATAAAATTTAAGAAATACCCCTCTAGTTCTTCCGGAGAAATAGCGGTAACAAACCTACACTATCAAAATCCAAGATGGCTGCCTGTCGGCCATGTTGTTTATCCGATCAATCTCAAAAGTTGCACTGCACAGCTAAGGACCAAGGGGAACCTACATATACAATTTGAGAAAGATCCCTTTCATACTTCCCGAGAAATAGCGATAACAAACTTTCAATACAAAATCAAAGATGGCTGCCTGTCGGCCATGTTGTTTATCCGATCAATCTCAAAAGTTGCACTGCACAGCTAAGGACCAAGGGGAACCTACATATATTTTTTTTTAAAGATCCCTCTGGTACTTCTTGAGAAATAGCAAAACAACCTTTCAAAATCAAAATCCAAGATGGCTGCCTGTCGGCCATGTTACTTATCCGATCAGTCTCAAAAAAATGCCCTGCACAGCTAAGGACCAAGGGGAACCTACATATATTTTTTTTTTAAAGATCCCTCTGGTACTTCTTGAGAAATAGCAAAACAAACTTTCAAAATCAAAATCCAAGATGGCTGCCTGTCGGCCATGGTTTTTTTTATCTGATCAGTCTCAAAAGCTGCCATGCACAGCTTAGGACCAAAGGGAACCTACATATAAAATTTGAGAAAGATCCCTCTGGTACTTTGAATAGCCACGGCTAAAAACCAGCACATTACAAAGAGTCCTTCACAATGTCATTATTTCATTTAGCTCATCAGCAGATTTAAGTCATCTTTACACATCTAACCTATTAATTTATACAAAATGAATTGAAAGTACGTGATATTGTCGACAATGCAAAATATGTTTCAGATAACAAAATTGTATTTTTATTGCCCATTTGTTGTTTATACATGTACAATATGTATGTACATTATTGTAATATGATAAATCTACTTGCCTTTTCTTTGTGGTTTGTTCAAATAACAAATGTGAGTAAATGTAAAAAAAGTCTTGAAGTATGTGTATATTTCATGATGTGTGCATGTAAGTACAAGTGAGTGGTCAAATATGTTTATTCATTGATTTATGCACGACTAAAGGATTATTTGTGTTTGTGTAAGATTACACTATGGTACATACATGACAGTTTGTAACACACGATGGTACATATATGACTGTTAATAACACACGATGGTATATACATGACAGTTTGTAACACACGATGGTACATACATGACTGTTAGTAACACACGGTGGTATATACATGACTGTTAATAACACACGATGGTACATACATGACTGTTAGTAACACACGATTGTACATATATGACTGTTTGTAACACACGATGGTATATACATGACTGTTAGTAACACACGATGGTACATATATGACTGTTTGTAACACACGATGGTACATATATGACTGTTAGTAACACACGATGGTACATATATGACTGTTAGTAACACACGATGGTACATACATGACAGTTTGTAACACACGATGGTACATACATGACAGTTTGTAACACACGATGGTACATACATGACTGTTAGTAACACACGATGTTACATACATGACTGTTAGTAACACACGATGGTACATACATGACTTTTTGAAACACACGATGGTGCATACATGACTGTTAGTAACACACGATGGTACATACATGACTGTTTGTAACACACGATGGTATAAACATGACTGTTAGTAACACACGATGGTGCATACATGACTGTTAGTAACACACGGTGTTACATACATGACTGCTAGTAACACACGATCGTATATACATGACTGTTAGTAACACACGATGGTGCATACATGACTGTTAGTAACACACGGTGTTACATACATGACTGCTAGTAACACACGATCGTATATACATGACTGTTAGTAACACACGATGGTATATACATGACTGTTTGAAACACACGATGGTATAAACATGACTGTTAGTAGCACACGATGGTACATATATGACTGTTAGTAACACACGATGGTACATCTATGACTGTTTGTAACACACGATGGTATATACATGACTGTTAATAACACACGATGGTACATACATGACTGTTTGTAACACACGGTGGTATAAACATGACTGTTAGTAACACACGATGGTGCATACATGACTGTTAGTCACACACGATGGTACATATATGACTGTTAGTAACACACGATGGTACATTCATGACTGTTAGTAACACACGATGGTACATTCATGACTGTTAGTAACACACGATGGTACATTCATGACTGTTAGTAACACACGATGGTACATCTATGACTGTTTGTAACACACGATGGTATATACATGACTGTTAATAACACACGATGGTACATACATGACTGTTTGTAACACACGAAGGTATAAACATGACTGTTAGTAACACACGATGGTGCATACATGACTGTTAGTAACACACGGTGTTACATACATGACTGCTAGTAACACACGATGGTATATACATGACTGTTAGTAACACACGATGGTGCATACATGACTGTTAGTCACACACGATGGTACATATATGACTGTTAGTAACACACGATGGTGCATACATGACTGTTAGTAACACACGATGCTACATACATGACTGTTAGTAACACACGATGGCACAAACATGACTGTTAGTAACACACGATGTTACATACATGACTGTTTGTAACACACGATGGTACATACATGTATATTCGTTTGCAATTTTCTTTCTAAAACTAAAACAATAATGGCAACGAATATATTGCTGATGAGAGAATAACGGTTGAACAATGCCAACTGGTATATAGCCTTTAATCAGTCGGAAGGTATTCTTGTTTAAAGTTGTCCTAACAGAAGAAAAAAAACCCCAGTCAATGCCTACTATATCCGTATCACGCAACGCATGTGATACATATGGGTTTGGAAAATATATGTATTGATAAAGTAGGGTCATTCAGGAAATTAAAAGATGAACTTTAGGCACACTAAAGATACATCAGTCTTTTATGTTGCAAATTGTCAATATATTAACTAAAAATGTCTGTTTGTCAAGAACATTAATTTTGCAAACTTAAAAAATCACTAAAGTGGAATCACAGTGGTTTCTGCTGACATTAGAAATTACTAGCACTTTGGAAAAGTATGTCGTCAAATACACTTGCGTTATCAGGTCTATGTACATTTCCCTGCCCGTGTTCACAGCTGCGTATATAGCTTGTTTGGTAATTAAATGTGATGTGAATTGTGATCTCTGCCCTATTTAAAAAAAAAATGTGTAGCGTATAAATGAGCGTAAATAAATAAACTGTGATAAAATGCATAAAGTGCACGAAGAAGTATACTGATGCTCAAGAAACATGTTTCCGTTTGCCTTATAAGGGCAATAGTGACATAAACTTTAACACAACATTCCTTCTTTTCTATATTTACTCTCATCTTATGTTTGCTAATCCTCCCGACAATAAACCTTTGATACTCAAATATATCAGAGGTTAGGAAACATTCGATGGACACCGTCACCCATTTTTTTGTATTTACACAAGTATGATGGTTCTATATCGACTATTATTTATTACATGTAAGTTTTTGTTATCTTGACTGAGGTTAAAGGTCAATTAGTTTGCAGCATTCCGTATGTATTCACATCGACTATATTGTAGTCCTATGACAGATAAAGAATGATGTAGAAGCAAAACATCTTTTGAAGATATATTTCTGTTTTCATAGTGATATCTCTAGACTGAATACAAATGCTTCATTTCGTTGAATCAATGAAACCGTTCTCATGGTCAAGCATGGACTCCGTGCTCAAACTGTCTTGTAACTCACTTAAATCATGTCACACCATCAAAAAGTCAAATGTTATTATTGAAAACAGCATTCGGGTT